AACGAATACGTTATCGTCAGCCATATATGTCTCGGCAGCAGTCGCGATCACCCGTCCGTGACCAACGAATTTATACATACAAGATACAACAACAATAATATAATAATGAAGTATAAACTGTCTCACTGAATAACATATATATCTGCAGGTATTATAATACGTGTTATAATAGTGCTGCAGGATCTACAAACGTCTTAAACCGTTCATGTCAAAATGTATTTTAATAAAATATATAGACATAACAGTAAGTCAGTAATGTGTATAGCGATTGATCTAAGTCGACGGCCACGACGCGGCCGTCGAAGAAATAACTAAAATAAAAATAATAACAACGAAAAGACGAGCGGCGAACGGTCGTGTAAATAGCCGGAGATGAGATCGCTCGAACACGCCGCCGCCGCCATTACGAAGTGATTTGAAGAATGATCGTGTGTGCGTGTTTGTTCTTAAATCGCGAGGGGGGGGAGAAGAAGTGTACTCAAATATATTTTTAATTTACTACGGAGCTATAGAATATATACCACCTATAAGAGAATAGTGCGATACGGTTCGGTTTTTTTCTCATCGCCATACTGCGCGAGTCCGCCACCATTTTTCCACGAAGAGACTGTGTGTTTTCCGGTGCGAAAAACACCGCACGCACGAACGACTGTGGAAAATGGAAATGTACAGAGTGGCGCGAAAACAATATAATATAATATATATATATACCCATTTATAAGTAGAAAAAAATTGCGCAATATATTCGGTGCGCGACGGCCAACGGTTGTTTGACGATGAACTACGCCACGCTGCACCGCATCGCCAGTATAGGACACGTTTGGAAATTGGAAGTAGGTATGTTATTATTATTCTGCAGACCACCGACGCCTTGGTTTGATCATCTCAGTATACATATATATATATATATATATATGTATATAAATTGCAATATATACCGCTATATTATGGTTATCCTGAAAGTATAGAGAATATTGACTCTGTGTGTATATAATATAATACATATATATATATATATTGCATAATTATCGGAACGCAACAAATTAATTTACCACACGAAACAGTAATGCTCGATTCGGTGTCGGTCCACGATGATGCCGAACGTCGTCATCATCATCTTATTATTATTGTTTATATTGACGATACACCGTGTTATTAAACTGGCTATACATATATTATATCGCATAATGTTATTTATGGATGTGTCTGCGCGTGTAACGGAATGTATACATTTTTTTTTTTCGTTTACTGCAGTGCGCACATGATGATAGCTGATTGGGATCGCCGTGAACCTGTGAATATAGTCATATAACTTCACGAATGAAAAAAAACAACAATGTTCACCGAGACTGTGTACTGAAAAACCACCGAAAAAGCTGTACAATAATAATATTTTTCTGAAGAGCTATTAGGTGTATTGTGTATGATATTATAATAAATAGATGTATAGTACACAACGTATATTGCAGATTCCAATAATAAAATCCGTTACAGTCAACGTTTTCCGTCCGTTGATATCCCATTATATATATAGACCTATCATTATTAAAACACATTTTGTCGTCTATAGTCTTTAGTTGTCGTCGTAGTTTTTATTATTATTAGGTACTATTTTTTTTTTTATTAAATAATTTTTACGATGTAGAACGCGTTTTTTTATTCTACGTCAATGGAAAAACAATATTGTGAATTAACGTCGTCGAACGAGTATATTGATTTAATACGCGCGTCACGTCTATGTAGCGAGTATAGTGAGTATATTATACTGGTTCGTATTGTACTTACCAGATCGTAATAAAATTGTAGAAAAAAATTACCCTTCGACCCTGAAGGCGATTATCGAAGATAATAATAGTGATATATATATTGTATATAATTTGATTCCGCGTATTATTTCAGCCTTGGCGACAAGCATCGAGATCTATATAATATAAATCGAAATAAAATTTGTCTTAAACGCAATCCTGGTGTACTTATGCGTTAGAAATCTGTTATATATATATAATACATATAAACAGCTAAAACGTGTCCGTATTATTTAATACCTATTTTACAGTGAACAAATAGAAACTAATTTAAACAATTTATGTGTGTATTCGTTTACAGTCACATTGTCTACTGTCCTCGACCTTTGGTCCTTTTTTCAGTAGCATCTCTTTAGAAACCATCTCGAATTAATCATCTAAAATGGATCGATTTTTTTCAATGGATTAAAATTATATATTGTAATTGAACTGTACAGAAACTTCACACATATTTTCGACAGTATAATTTATTACAACCGCACGTAGGTACCTGCACAAGATAAATCGAAATGTTGACTACCTACAGGCTACAGGCTACAATTCGACTTGTTTTTTCAAGCGGATTCGGACCCGACGCACAGTGATCGGATGAGGAGACATATTATTATACTATAATACATATTATTATATGGTTTAGGTAGTAGGTACTTTGTGGGAGGTGAAATATTGTGACAATAGCAGTGGACAATGGGCGCGCAGTATTCCCCCAAGTATACACACACGTACAAGACGTACGTATTTTATGTTTACTTTTTTTTTTTGGCAATAATAGCTACCTACGATTTGCCTTTATATTCGCTGATGGACGGACGGTTATCGCGATGTTCACCCCGTCGCGGCCCTATATATTGTAATAATTTATGGAGCCGTTCTCCGGGCCGGACCCATCTTGTCAACGAGAACAGACACTCAGACCGATATTTTCCAGAAAAGAACCGTGCACACAACACGGCAATAATGATAATACAACGTATATAATGATATAGACGTATTATATATTTATTGTTGTATATTATGTACGCCAACATTTATAGTCCGGGTGGTGTCACGTGTCGTTATATACATATATGTATAATACGACCATATATTATAACTCATCGACCCTCATCGTACCCTAAGACGTACACACACACACCTACACTCACAAGTATATAATGTACATGATATACGCGAGACGACAAAAAGGCAAAAAGGACAGTTTTTATGGCATGACGAGTATTTCGCGGTAAAGCATTATTTTATATATTATATTATATATAGTGAGAAGACACGATATGTGCGGTATTTCGCTGCAGTATATAGGTAAACGCGATTTTTCTCAAAGGCCTTGACGAGCGACGTGTCATGTACGCATGTATAAGGTAAACGAATATAGCATATTCGTCTTTGGGTTGCGGAAGAACATAAACGACGACTTGCAAGCGTAATATTATTATTACTTATTTATTATATGTTCGTTTACTATTATATATACATATACAATATACATATAATATATTCGCGCAAATAATAGATTTTCGCGGCGCATTCCGCGCGAGCCTCGACAAAGCACGTAGGTATATATATATATTATATGGATATTTATAAATATTATTATATATAGCGACACTAGCACTTTTATATCATACCGCCAGGTGTTTTGCGATCAGGCGTATAATATAAGGACATATACCTGACACTATCCGGTAAGCCTTATATACCTTCGTACTTGCTGTGCATACACGTGTGTACCTATATAATACTCACTGTATATGAGTGCAGGCGAAAAGTTCCGCAACGACCGTGAACCGGGTTATAGGAGGTGTATTTTATATAGGAATGGGATATACAATTATATATAATATACTCGCACGTGCCGTATACAGTCGCGCATTATAGCGACGGACAAATATATGACTCGCGTATAATCTATAGCAACGATAATTGGTACCTATAATAATATTGTTATATGTTATTATCAAGCCCGGATTAAGACATTTTGAGGCCCCTGTACGAAAAAAAAAATAATGTTTATTAATATATAGGTACCTGTTATAATAAATATACATAGGTATTAGGTACATAGCAATAAATCAAGAATTAAGTATCATTTTATTTATAAATTATAATTTACAAGCTTTTTTCCTCGCTAAATAATCATCGATTTTTTTAAAGTGATTTATGCGGTGTTATAGCCTATAATGGACAAATCTGAGGCCCCTAAATAAATGGAGGCCCGGGGGCCATGGCCCCCCTGGCCCCCCCCTTAATCCGGGCTTGGTTATTATTATCTATCATCATTATAATATATATATATATAGAGAGGGTATATGGAAAACCGTGGTCTTCGAAAAGAAGGGAGGTAGGAGGTGGCGAACGGGGAGGAGGTATACAATAGACCACGACTATGAGGACAACATAATATTATACAAGACGTATACTTATGACACTCTGCTCTCTACTCCTCTACCCGGATGCCGCTGCAACAGCGTGGGGCTATGCCCTATAATAATAATATAGAAGAGGAATATAATAAAATATAATATTGCGGACAATATTCTGTCCAAGCGGCGGGTGTATCAGTCGGTACGGCGCACATGACACGATATAATAATAATATATATAATATATAATAATATCATATACCAGGTACCTGTGCAGGCGGGCGAGGCGGCGCGCGCGTACAACCGAACCGGTCCGCCGCACGAGACGTGCACTCGGCGGCGGTGGGGGCATCACGCCCCGCCCGGGCCGCTGGGTGACCGTCCAATCGGATGGACCCGGGGCCCGACCAGCATCCAATCCTCCGGTCCACCTCGGCCGGTGCACGCACACTACGAGATCCACAGCGGACGACTACCGCGACGACCTATGTTAAAACATCACACGGCATTTACCGTCGCGCGTAACGTCCGTCCGTCCGTCCGTCCGTCTCTCCCTCTATCTCGGCCGCCGCCGACGAGGGTGCCGCCGCCGCGTCGTACGCGCGTTTCTCGTGGAGACGTCGGTCGCTCACACACCGCCGCCGACAGCGAGTCTGCGTGGTGTACCTACATGCGTCTCTCCTTGTGCGCGCCCACCCCGACGTGCGTCTTAGAACGTCGACCGAGTTTTTTTTTCACCGCGACCGTCCGTCTGTGATTACAAGTTATAATAATAATATATTATATTATTATATATACGTTTCGATACGAATTTTTCGCGTTCACCAGTGTGATGCTGTTCAAAGGTAACAGTAGTCGCCTACAGTTGCTCATCGAAAAGATACAGTCCAACAACAAGGACAACAACGACGAACAAGACATAGAAGGTATAATATACAGTATTATAGTATTATATATTATAGGTACCTATTTTGTTGTAACCTCGATATCACGAGGCCCGTTCTCCCGCGAATAATAAAACCGACGATGTTTCAGGGTTATAGGTCTTCGGCGATTTATAATATGCTTTTGTTTTATTGTTAATGTTACGTGTGTGTAGGTGTATTATGCACGGGTAACGATTTATTGATGATCGAACGAAGGGTCTCGTAACTCGTAAATTTAAAATAATAATATTAATGTTAATATTATTCAAACAAACCTACCAATATCTACCATATGCATACACGCATGAAGCATTTTCCGAGTATCTAATGTGCAGTGTACTGTGTACACCCTGTACACGATTTATTTCAATATCAACACCTGTGGCGCCAAATCGTATGCTTGGGTGGGTTTTTGTTTGTAAATATTATTGGAAAGTAAAAATCAGTATTTTCTTCTTAATGACATGCACCAATGGTTCGGGGTAGTTTTTTCTCGGAACAAAGTAAATTTCTTTTTACCCTGTGATTGTTGAAAAATACGAACATCGATGATGAATGACAATATTATACGATGATTTTGATGGCTGACGGCTATAGTGTATAGTAAATTCCAACGTCAGTTCAACTTGCAATTCTAAATGTAGCTTTATTGATCAATTTTTGGGAATTGATTCAATGGGGATTTTAGAGCGGGAAATTCGACACGTGCACAGATTATTGGAACGCAGATATACTGCAGCGCTAAGCACGAATACTTATAATCCGACTGTAAAGACGTACAATTTACGTAGCCATAAAGACACCCTAAACCCACAGAAACACCACTCCCCTCCCCCTGAAATAAATGTATAACTACGGTTTACGGTATATAAATACAATATTTTGGGAAAGTATGACATGCATTCAAAATAAAACTTTAATATCTAGTTCAATCACGAAGTTCGAATGTTTTTAACATTATGTGTTGGTTTATTATTTCTTGCTAGATTCCCAGATATTATGTCTAGCTCGTAAGTAATAACAATGCAATTATAGGGCATGTGTGGCAGGGACATGTACTCAGTTGCAGAGTGAAAATCAGTTTGCCTGCAGCGAAAGAGTTAATAATTGATATTGGTTTAAACCTATTGATACCTTAACAATTAATAGTTAATAGTTATATATAAGTAAATTTGATATGAAAATTAAAAAATACCATATTTTACTGTTATGAATAGATGGTCCATAATCTATATAGGTACACACCTAATAATAGACATCTATATTATATTAATATTATTAACATTTATTAAAAACTTCAGGTTTTATCTTAACTATTCTTTGTAATGTTAAAAATATTAGCTTCATAATGATGTTAAAATGTTAAATATTTTAGGGAGTCATTTTAATATTTTTCGTTAGAAAAGAAATTTATACTGTTAGGCGTGTAGCTTCACAATTAGAATTATTTTTCATAACCACTTTAATAACTATTAAAAATAAATTGAAAATTCGGATTGTACAGGTTAACTTTTGTATTTTTTAGCGTGTCCAAATATTTGTTGAACAAGTATAACCACATGACTTTATTAAAAAAGTATCTATTAGATTTATGCACAATCAGTATTCTAGTTTTAATTCTATATACAAAGGTACTTAAGACTTTATTATTCACCTGTACCTCCAAAGACTAAAAGACTAGTAAGAGCAATAATATTTTCCGATTTTAAACAATTATCTGAGCCTATAATCACGGTAGTAATATTGTTAAAAAAAAATGTAACCTATCATTTTTTAAATCGAAATTAATTCCGTTGGGATGATTATATTTCTCATGAGATATAGCCTATCTATTTATATTTAATAGTTTTTTTCTTGTAATAATATTCCATGAACCTTTATAGTATGTTATACAATATTAAGTATACTCTTCAACTCTAGTATAAAATAAAATTTAACTAGTAATATTTGAATTATGAAGTATAATTTATAAAGATCGATAGGTAATATGTAATATTGGCAACTCAATACCTGTTTTTAAAAAATTAAAATATTTAACAGGTAGCTATAGGTAGGTTAGGTACCTAAATTATTTTTAAAGATTTGTTAAGTTTTAATAATGATCAATTATCGAGACAAAGGAAATATTAATTTTGACGGATGATATATTATTATATTTATGTCTCAATTTTAAAAATTAAGACATCGAAATCCGCGAAAATAAAAATTTAGTATTAAGTAGGTATAGCATTCAGCTTTCAGATGTCAATAATCAAAATCAAAATACACCATTATAATTTAAACTGTTATTATTAAAAATAATAATAGTATAATAATTATATTTTGACCTTATGTTTTGAAAAAATCGATTTTATTTTTTTGGTGTGACTAAAAATTAATAAGTAATAACCGTAGATACTTGAAGTTTTTACTAAATATTTATATTAGAATTTTCCATACATAGTAACATTTTCAAAATATGTTGGTTAAATCTTTTTGAGCTATTAATAGCCTTAACAATTATTATTGATAAAAGCTTGAAAATTGTATGCAAAGTTCCTCATAAGTTTCTTTAATAGAAGTTCAAAAATATTAAAGATACATAGGCACGATTATTTTTAACCGGATAGTTACGTTATTTATAGCCATGGAATATTTTCGATTTTTATTAATTTTTTTTTAACTATTGAAATTGATTATTTATACAAGTATACCAATGCTACGATGTCACAACGTCCAGTGGCGTCATTTCAGTTTTTTAAAAGGGGGGGGAAGTTTTGAACGGCCCAAAATAAAACTGAAAAAAAAACCACTCACTAACAATTACATTATATTACAATACTGAGTACAATTTAATTTTTATCTCAATACAAATGGCCTTCTTACATAATTGTATACTTACTAGTTATAGAATCAAAGGTTACTGTCATAAGCATAAGTAACCCATTTTTTTGAGAGATAACAATAACTAAATAATTAATACATATGTAGAGGGATACTTAAATATATTACCTATTAGCTAGGTAATATGAAGGCCCAAAAGTTTAACACATCCAGTACAATGACATAAATACTCTACAACTACAAAATATGTACAACAAAGCGCGGTTTCAACATGTCCGCCTTTTTTATTTTTTAAATACATATTTTGCTGAGGTTTTAGTGTTGTATATTTCACAAACTATACTAAGAATAAAATTATGTCATTTAAATATTTAATAAAAAAAAATAACAAATAATAATAAAATAGTTGCTTAAAATTTGATTTATATTACCTACTATTGATACTACAACATATTGTATATACTATATACTATATAAATATAACTATATAATATATGTGGGATGTTCATGATTTTAAAATGCAAACATTCTGATTAGCATCAACAATTAAAAAACTGAATTGATGCGCCTGGTGGAAGTACTCCTTTTTTATACTTCCTAAATCTATTAATCCAATTCTAATGATTTTTTTATGACAGTTTAAAATACATTAAAACAATACTCAATATATAAATTAATATATTATGACAGAAATTTAATGGAGATGTAAAAAATTAACAAGCCGGGTGTTTTATACGATGCTATGCTAAAAATAATATGTATTAAACTTATGGAATTTACTACAGTCAATATTTAGTTTCGTTTCTGTCATTAATGTTTAAATCGTTTTATACACATTTAGGTACTTTTTAATATTTCGACTTTATTAGCAAAATATTAAAACATGATTTTTGTAGAGGACAATAATAAGTAATAAATCAATGCAAAATGCATATATAAAACCATACAACTAAATATTATCGATATTTAAAAGCCTGTACTAATATTATTCAAATGTGTTAATATTACATTAGTAGTATAATAAAGTATTGACGATTATAGAGTAATAGAATATTGGTAAAATATAGAAATTAAGAAAATAACTGATTTAATTTATTGTATTTAATATTATATTATTATTATGTTGGTGTACATACTCAATGTAATTACATGCCATTAAATTATCAATAGTACCTAATTTTATTATAAATATTCAGAATACAATAGTCAATAACAGACGATATTTAGGGTACCTACCTATAATATCTTTAAATATAGTTTTGGAAAGATTTAGACAAATATTGTGTTATTTTTGAAAAATCAGAACGAAATTTAATTAATTTTAATTAGTATTTAATAATACAATATAAATTGAAAACATATTCTAAATAAAAATGTATTCTATAATGTTTTATACCTAATTTACATAATATATTACAATAAATTAGAATATAATTTAAAATTACTATTAAAATATATGTTAATTATATTATATACTATATTTATTGTACTATATGATAATTATTATTCATGTTATAGGCTGTTTAAGCTATTTGTTTTTATTAATATTATAATATTGTCTCCTTAAGCAAAGACCAAAGGGTGTTATTTAGTGTTAACTAATATCGAATTTTAATATTTATCTTTATTATATTGATTACAAAAATTATTTGTATATTACACGGGTAAAATCTTTTTCGTCGATAATATTTATAGTTCGATAACAGGGTTAAAATATTATTTGTTTCATCTTACAGAACTAACCTGTTACAATAATTGAATACTATATTATAATATTAATTACCTATACAAAATAACTTATGCTAATTCTCCTTTACTTGTTATGCATAACTATAGTATGTTATATATATATTATATATTATACTAACCATCACTTATTAGAGAGTTGAGACTAACAATTTAACGATAGTTAAATAAATAAACAAAACATTATTGCAATATTATTATATTAACAATATGAATCAAAGTTAATAGCAATCGGACTTTATAGTTATACAATATTACAGTGTTTTGTAAACAGAATAAACAGTGAACAGGTATACCTATAATATTATGCAATTAGGGTCTAACTATTTGATACTTATTATTCGATTATCTTTTTCCTATGCATTTATATTTTTTATCAAGTTGAAAATATGTTAATATTGTTATCGTACGGTTTCTGTTAAGTACGTAGTTATACATTTACACAAAAAAGATTTTTTTAAATAAATACGACGCTTGTATAGTTATATTTTCTTTACAATGCACTTAATAAATTTAATATTTAAATTTTAAGTTCGACGAATGAGTACATTTTTATGATTTATTGATGTCTTAAAACGTTTTCAGTAACTGTATGGGGTATAATTGGGCTATGTAATATAGTTTACTGATATATTAAATATTTTGAAATTTTATTCATTACAATTTCTAGTTCATATTTTCATATAATATAATGGTCGGTGTCATTATTATTTGAGTAGTATTTTAGTATTTTACCTATAGATGCCAGAGGTACTAACCTACCTATATGGTTATGTTTAATTAATATTATATCCTTAATAATAATCTAAACAGTATATGGCAATAAATAATAATAGGTATCATAAAATATATTAAATATCCAAAATAAAATGTTAATATTCGTAACAAGTTATAAAGCCAAATTGTATAAAAAAAAAAAATACCACGACCTAGTAGTTAAATTGGGATAATTAATAATAATACGACTTACGCCCTATAAAGTCTATATTTTGTTTAAGGGTGCTATAATATAATATAATCGAAGAACAATTTGTTATAAAAAAATAGTTGCATAAAAAATATTGTCTAAGATACGAATAGTAAGTACCTATACGACATTTAGTATAAAACGTTTTATTTTTGTATTTGGTAAGGTGCTCCTCAGGGCAGTTATAGTAGGTTCTATAAATATAAGTCAAATCTTAAGTTATTGCTGTTATTTCGTAATAAACTTTTGCTAATGGTAAACGATATGATCTTACAATTGTGCTTATCCAAGTATCCAACTCTGCTTGTCTAGATCCTGGAGTTACCTATCGGCTATCGGGTAAAAAAGTCGTATTTTTATGTACTCTAGAAAAAAAAACGGTGGTTGGCATAGTCTACCCAACGGGACGCGTTATACTAAATGACTTTTCTATCCCCAAGGTCTCAAAAGCTAATGCTTACACGAACTTTACTCTAAAACATATCCTCACCCTTCTACACCCACCTATCGTAACGCGATAATCTAGTCAACCAATTTCGTTCCTATAATGGTCCACTGTCCCCTTATTGCGGCACACGGCGAGAAACACCTTAGGGCAAATAACAACGATCTCCACCAACCCTCCGTGTACCATCGTCCCGGCCGATTCTGTAATAAAATTAAATCGCCAACGTCATATACAACGAGCATAATTCAATTTAAACAGACTTTTATTCGAGCGAATTCGTGGGTGTCCTGAGTACAATGTCAATAATTATTAATAATCGAGTTGCGTCGAACCTTAACTACGCGGGATGCAATCATTATGAGATAACTACTCAGGTGTTATGTACAATAATTTCCGTCATCATAATATACTGAATCGCTGGTAGCTTGTTTTAATTATTTATTGGTGCGCACAACACTAAAAACTGACAAATAACAACAATTGCATGCAGTGGTCTTCATTATCATATTTCTAGACAACGTTTAAATCTTCAGGAATGCAATCAATTTTGCGTCATATTTCTACTCATCCTCAAATTCATGTACCGCCGACGCGTATGGTAATATATAATATACAAGTTATACAATGTTAAATTTTTTTTTTTTAATGCGTCAACTGCACCGTGGTTAGCCTGTTTTTACTTTAGAGGGTTGGTTGGTTCGGAACACGTGTATAATTTATATGTGGCGAGGATTTGTCACTAAAACCCTGGTGGTCAGTCATCCGGGAACTAGCGACACCGGCTGATGCTTGACCTCAGACTGAACACATTAGTGACTGAGGCAAGCCACCGCGCCACGACAGGCCACTGTTATACATATTTTATAGACAGAATAAAATGCGTTCTTATATTTTAATATATTATATTATTATATATTAAATAATAATGAACCGGTGGAGGACGTCGGACATGTATGCAATTGTGCAATGAAAGATGATTGAGGAGACGTATATATATATTGTGAATGGCGGCGAGGGAAGGGTGAAAAACGGTCGGAGGGATATTATTCGTTTTGAAACGGAATATTATTTCTGTTTTACAAATAGCGTCCGGTCATTAAACGCGATTAATAATCTACGGAACTACGGTGATTATATTAAAGAGACTAAAACGCCGTGCGACGGCTGCTAGATTATAACAATAAGTAATAATAACGAATACTATAACTGCAGTTGTAGGTATAGAGGTATACACATCATAACATTATAATATACCAGATACCTATATATGGGTATATATGATAAATAATATATATTATGCATTACATGTAATATAATAATATAATATTATATTATATTATGACGTACCTACGATATTCCTACAAAACGACGGACGCGGAAAACGATGACGACGACGACGACCGGACCGAGTAGGCGTGTGTGAGGCACGCGTAGGCAACGACGACCATCTACCACACACGGCCGCCGCCGCCGAGTTGTGCGGATGCGGCGACCCGTCTCACGTATAACGATCAAAATAATAATAATAATAATAATAATAGAATAATAATTGACGCCTACTGCACCACGCAGTGGTGGCGTTGCTGCCGTCGTCGGTACGTTTGTCGCCGGCCAGACAGTAACGGTAATAATATCGCACGCTCGTCCCCTTTCGCCGCGCCGTTACGCAGTTGTATAAATCGTCTGTGGCTGATATGTTATGTATTAATAATTTAACGCTCGATATTGAGTCGTAGGTATACCTCAAACACGGTTAGTATATTATATTTACGCGCAGACATGTGAGATATTGTTACGAAGCGGCGCCAAGGCGGAATAATAATATATTATAATGTTGTCAGTCGTGCGCCATCGTCTCCGTCGTCGTACGTCTTATGTGTAATACGCATTTACATCACAGCGAGCCACAATGATTCCCGAAGTCGTGGTGAAGAACGTTTTTTATTTTTTAATCCAATCGACGCCTATTACTGCTGCAGCTGTGTTCCGAGGGGTCGCTAAGCGTTATGCGTTAAGGGTTGCAGACGTTTTGTTTTAAGCACGTGTTTTCAACGATTAAAACAGATTGCCAAACCGACGTTTAAAAACAGTTATCAGTGCCGACAACAATTTTAATACATTTTTTTTTCGTAAAATAATATGGTTACTAACAATTGACCGTCATATTGTATTTTGGTTTCAATTGTTATCGTTTTTCGTCCGGTACGTGATCTGCAAATAACAGGTACCTATATTGTGTTTTGTTATAATAACTCACCGAGGTTATACTATTGGACATTATAAGTTAAGTGATGAACTGGTATCTGTAAATATGTAGCATAAAATATTAGGATAGGTCTGAATAATATATAATTTATCTTTATTTCTTTATTAAATTTATAGTTCTCATAAAATTCAGTTTTTAATATCAACGTCTGAAATAATATTGTACCTGCAGTAGTCAGTGGTACTGAAACAAGGAAGACGTAGGTGGTAGGTTTACCATTTAGAATAATTTGATTGTAGAGAAAGTCAACAATAAAACATTAGCCAAATGCATTAAATGCTCATTTGAAATAGTCCGTCTGGTATAAATAAAAATAAATGTCATGGGTAATAGCCTTCATAACTCATAATATTCCTCACTATATTCTTTTTGACGAATCTAAAACGCGCTTATCCTTTGCCTAGAAGGTAAAGTTCTACCTCATTTATATTTATGTCGTCCATGTCAGTCTATCGACACAATAACTTCGATATTATTATGTAATAGATCTCGTACCAATATTTTTTCGTTATTTTTCCATAATCTATAAATATTTAACCCTATACATATAACTCATATTCCCACACAGTGAGACTATACAGCTTATCATCGAAGACGATGTTGCTATAATAACAGAAGTATAATAATATCATGATCCTCGAACGAAACGCTCGTTGTATATACGCATATAGAGGCTGCATAGACTGGCCACTTGGGAGTCGAGACTATATTGCGTTAGTATAATCATATTATTATAACGTCGCCATATCGTTAGTGTCGTCTATACGTCTTGTTTAGTAGGTACTCAAAATGGTATATTTTGTGCACTCGATAACCTGCACACATACTGTCTTATTATGCAGGATGTCTAGTCATGTTCATCCTTAGATTTCTGCATAAACTTTCACAAACTTACTTGTTCATTTTAATACTTAATGGGAATAAGTGATTAAACTTTTAGAATATATACATAAATTGACCGTCCCGGTTAAAAGAAACACGAACACACTAATCGTAATTTTCTTATATTTTGTGAAAACGTGGCGTAAACGAGTGCAGTGAGAGGCGATACACAGGTAGAGACGGGATACACGATCGTGTACATGTGTCACGCGAGATCGTCTCGGCGTTTTCGTAGGTGAATCGATGTACCCATCCGCAGTGCTATACATCCACAGTGCTATGCGCCTAATATTAAATACTCACCAAACCAAATCTATAACGGTAATATAATATCATACTATATACTAATGTCGTCACGATTTTCCACAGAAGCACTGAGTGGCGCGGGCGAGGCGAGCACCGAAGAGGCAGCTTCGTCGTGGAGCTCGGCCGTGTCGGAGGACCACACGTCGCCGGACAGCTGCGCCACGAGCAACAGCCGGCCCGGTTCCACGGTCGACCACCGACGCGATCGCCACAGCCGTCCGCCGTCGTACGCCACTGCAGGCGCCGCTGCCGCTGCTGCCGTCGCCGCTGTTACAGCCGCAGCGAACGCCACTGACGCCAACCCGTACGCATGCCAGTACTGCGACAAGACGTTTCCCCGGGGAAGCTACCTGAAAAAACACGAACAGGTGGGTTTTCGTTTTCGCTATTATTTAGCTATACCTACGTCTTATCCTACACCTATACCTCTAACAATAACAGTAAAATACTACATAAAGGATGCGAGTCAGAATTTCAGATTGAGACAAAATACAGTTTTGAAAAACTATCGATTTATTAGTTCTGTATAATAAATTGAACATTTTAAAAATATATTATATATAGGTACCTCCCCATTACGAATAAAATAGTTCACAATTTTTTTTAAACAATAATAAATTAAGATTCTGATTGTACTCCGCGGATAGCTCGGATGAAAATCTGACGAAAAAATATTTCAATATTTCAACATTTTTTAAATTACCCATGTATAACTGAAAATACAATCCTATTTACATTATGTTTATATATATATATTAAGATTAATATCTAAGAGTTTCTTTGATTGATTTGATTAATTTAAATAAGGTACAACATAAAAGATACGATCGATTTATGAAAAACGGTCGTGTCTAACTGTTTTTACTTTTTATCTTACGAATTTCCAATCGGAAACCAAGTAACCATTGGGCTACCGGATAACTCCTTCATCCCAAATTAAAAATATCACAGATACAAAAATTAAAAAACAAACTATAACATCAATAATGGGACATGAGACAACAATATGTACCTAACACTCTGCAGTTTTAGAAAATGTTTACCTCTGAAATTTTTTTCTAAACATAAGGATTGTATCTCCACGGATATTTTTATCCTGATACCTGATTCACACAGGTACACCTGATATACTTAGATTATTATCGTATAATTTTACATATTTCATTATTATACTGGTAGGGTGCTGTCGGCCAGCTTGACGAAATTTATCGTTTTATTCAGATATGGTGGGGGAAAACCGCTCCTCGAGGGATCGGTGCAACGTGTAAACACGTATATTATTATATTATATTATACATTATGTAATGACGATATAATATTATTGCATTACAATGCACTCGGTGCGTGTAATTTAGTGTGCAGCTGGGGTGTTATTCAAATAATATTGTTTACCTATGTATGAAAGTAGGTTTACCCACGATGAGATTTTTGTTTTGTTTTTTGTTTGGTTTTATATAATTTCTTTTAATACTCCATGTACGCGAGTACAATCACAACAATATAAACGACCTTTTTTGGGAACAGAAGAGTTTTGTTTTTATTTTGCTTTTACACTTGTGTGTTCACATCGTTTTATTATTATTATTATTCAAATCTATACCACATTACTCATATTATATAGAAAATTAAACATTTTTACTCACGAAATTCTTGCTCTATAATAAATACCTATTACAGATGGTATGTGGACTGTGAGTGTTCAAACATTTTACTAATAAACGTTATTTTTGCTGGAAAATATCAAGTCATAAACACAAACTAATATGAACAATCCAAAATTTCCATGGATTTTAAATCATATCTACAGATGAACTAATAACAGTTAACCCCCGCACTTGAAGGTGGCACATGTTTTATATAATAATATGACAGAATTCATCGTCTTTGCACATATTTTTTTTCGTTGTCAAATATAAACTAATATGATCTGACGAGTTAAATTATTATACTTTGTATTTTCACCAGATAGTATTATTATAATTTAAGTATAATTTCTTGCACTTATTGTATACATATATTATTAATATGAAGAGTTGCATCGTCGATGGACTAGCAATGCTATAAAGAGAGCGGGCGATCACCGGGCACCCTGAGCCGTGGCTGATATATTACGTACATGGTTATATTATATCATAACAACAATAAACGATATATTATAGGTAGTCCTTGTAAACTAGCGAAGTGCAACAATATAATTATTCAACATGTGTAACAAACAACAATGTCAACGACATCGCTATAGGTATAACACAAATACTAAGTATAGATAGGTAATAAGTTATGATATAATATAACTTAATAAAGTTAACTAACATAAACTATTAGCGAGGCGAATACAAAATGGCGTGGTGATTACAAGTTATGTACATATGTAGGTACATAATATTATTAAACCGTACATTACTGCATAATATCGAATACGATAAGAAGATGAAGAAGGCAAACGGGCAATAAATATAGCAGACCGAGGCCCGAGATCGGCCCCGGCCTCGTCCGATAAGGTGTGAAGGCGCTCAACTCTCCCGAAGATGTCCGCGGTACCTCTATAATAATAATATATACTATTATATCTATATAGGTACTTGTAACATTATATAGAGTATCGTGTATAGGCATACTCCATACACACGCAAAGTCGTCGTATTGTATATTAATATTATTTGTTTTTCGACGTGTGTGTATTTATTATTATTATTCGCGTTTAACACGCGGCTTTGCGTGTGACCTAAAACACCAAGTGCACAGTGCGTGTGTGTCGTATACGCCCGACCTCCGTACGACGGTGCGGTCGCATGTGCTTCGAAAAATCGCCTATGTTATTATTATGTTTACCACCGTCTGTGCAGCATCTGCTACGCGATCACCAATGGGATCCCCTAGTGGCGTATATAGCGGTTAGGACTTAGGAGTAGATTTCTGTTTTTTTTCCCCGACTCTTTCGGTTCACACGTTATCATTCGTATTAATATTGTATAAGTATATAAATTACTATACTACAACTGCGGTATACGTGTGCGCGCACACACAAAAAAAAAGAAATAAAAAAATCCTCGACCGATTTATGAACACATATATTAGGTATTAAAAAAAAAAATTGTGTTTCGTTCTATATAATATGTGGGTGTGTGTGTGTGTGTGTGTGTGTCTGTGTAGATAGTTATACGTATCTTACATCGTAGTTTAAAGATTTCTCAAGACAACGCGGGGACCACGCGAGATAAAAAAAAAAAGGTGGGTAAGTGGATGTCGCTCTGCTGTACAGTAGGTTACAAGTGGGTCACTGTATAATGGATGCTATTAAATTTGAATTCAATGATACAATATCATTGTATAAGAAAAACGATTCTGAGCGAAGACGGTATGTCAGTCTAGGTTTAATACAAATTATGGTATCTATATCTATGGTATTAAAAAAAAAATTGACCTATAATAAATTCCAAATTAATCATATCACATTATCACAATATTCATTAGGTACTTATAACACGTTATACATTAACATCAATAACAAACCCTGATACTATCATATATATATAATAGTACACTTTAGAAGTTTCAAGTAGGTACCCACGAATAATATTATATAATCACAACAAAATAACTAGGTTTTTTAATATGTAATTTCGTCCAAATTTGAACATAAAATGACTATAAAAATAAACTGTGATTGTATATTTTTTAGATTTTTCGGTAAGAGAATTAACTACTTACGTGGAATCTTGTTTTAAATTTTCAATCCTTAGCTATAAAAACTGAACATTTTATAATTTATTAATTACGATGATTAATAATTTTCGAGATTTTGAAAAATTCTATCAAAATTCGATGTTAAAATGCTTATAAAAAAAAATTGTGCCTATGTATTTTATATATTTTTCAACTGATATTGTAACAATATATCAGGAGCCTTGTATTAAATTTTTACACTTTTTGGCATAACAGATAAAACTTAATTGATATTTATAGAAAAAAAAAACTAAAAAAATTGAAAACTGAAAATGTCCGTAAACGGCTCAAAAAGTGTCAAAATATTTTCAAAATTGTAGGGTGTATAGGAAATGCTAATATAAACATTCAGTGAAATTTTCATGTATCTACAGTAATTCGTTTTTTAATTACAACAAAAAAAGGAAATTGCCACATGAGAAATCGAGTGAATATCCAATGTTGTAAAAATTTGAATTTCAAACGCTCATAAAAATTTAATTTGACTTTCCGGTAGAAATTTTTTTATTGATAAAGGTAGACAATCTTATGAATAATCTTGTATTAGATTTTCAAATCTTAGATTTAAAAAGAAAAATTTTTACGAATTCTTAACTCAAAATAATTTGCTAATTTTCGTGATTATTCCATATTTTGTCAATTTTTGAACTTTAAATGCTTATAAAAAAAAATTGTGACTAAGGATTTTTAATATTTTTCATCTGCCTTTGAAACAATATATTAGGAGCCTTCTATTAAATTTTCAAGCTTTCGCAACCAACAAATAAAATTTTATTGATATTTCTAGAAAAAAAACTAAAAAAAAACGAAAAATGAAAATGTCCCTAAACAAGTCAAAATAAATCAAAGTATTTTGAAAATGTTATCGTGTATAGAAAATGCAAATATAAACAACCAGTGAAAATTTCATGTATATACGTTCATTTGTTTTAGAGTTACACCAATAACCAAAATTGATTTTTTGGAAAATCGATTTTGCGTAAAAATTCCCGTTTTTTCCTTAATTTTTATGTTGTTTTTCCCGGCGCTTGTGAAAACTACTGGGAAATTTAAATTTTGACCTCCCCAATGCACCAACGATATTCACTTTCCAATCGAACAAGATACTGAAGTCGAAAATCGAAGCATTATTTCGACTACTTATCGTGTACACAGATACAAAAAAAATAAAAAAATAAAAAAATAAAAAAATAAAAAAATAAAAAAATAAAAAAATAAAAAAACACACATCATTGTAAAATCAATACATTCATCGTTTCACTCAGAATCTAAAATGAGTTGATGATATACTGTGAATTATGCGATTTACGTTCAAAACCCTTATTGCGTTGTAGAGGAATTTATATACATACTATATTATACAATATTTAAAAAAAAATTATTACTACACGCCGTGTTTCAAAGTATTTTTTGAAAAATATCGAATTTGTTACCAAGACAGCAAATGTAGGTATTTTATGTTGTGTTATGAGAACTTCTTTAAATTTAAAGAAAATTTCGTTAAGAATTGCTAGTAAACCAAAGCTAAAATTCACAAGTTGGCAAGTTATAACCATTATGTACCACCTGTACGGCTGTACCTAATACAGTATTATAATTTATAATTTTAATTTAAAATATTAATGACATTTTTATAGTAAAGTTATAGCCACTAATGGTTAAAATACAGTAGGGTAATTATAATATTATTGATCGATTAAGTGAAAAAAAAAACATTTTTCTAAGGCTGAATAATGGTTGTCCTGCAGATATCGGGATAAAATGCAGATGGGTATTTCGACATCGATAAACTCATCGTCGAGTA